TAGCAAATAAACTTTCGTTGAATATTGAAAAAACAAAATATATTTTGTTTGCTAAACCATCTAAATCCGAAAATCTTCCACTTACACTACCAGAACTAACTATTAACAATATTAAAATAAAAAGAGTGCTTTCAATGAAAATACTTGAAATAATTTTTGGCGAACATTTAAATTGGAAAAGCCAAATAAAGCTAGTCGAGAGCAAAGTCTCAAAGACTTTAGGGATAATGTATAAGATACGAAAGTGCCGAGCCGTTACTCAAGGAAATAAATGCCCTAAATGTATACTAATTAAACATCTACCATAACTTGTTATTTATGTTTAAACTTCAAAACGAATTAATTCCAAAATATTTTTATAAAAACTTCTTTCTTATTAATCATAAATATAAAACAAGACACTTAATAAATAATTACTACATCCCACTAACATTACTCAAAAAGTCTGACTTCTCAATTACATGTCGAGGACCACGCTTGTGGAACTCGGTTCTTGACGAAAATATGAAAAAAATAAATCTATTGATATATCTAAAAAAACTATAAAAAAACACTTACTAAATTTAAACAATACGTACATTCTTTCATTTTTTTAATTAAAAAAAAATATATATATATATATATATATATATATATATATATATATATATATATATACATATATATATATATATATATATATGTATATGTATGTAATTTGCGTGTGTATGTATATGTATATTTATATATATATATATATATATATATATATATATATATATATGTATATGTGTGTATGTGTATGTATATATATATATATATGTATATATGTATATGTATATATATATATGTGTATATGTATATGTGTATATGTATATGTGTGTATGTGTATGTGTATATGTATGTGTGTATATGTATATATACATATATCCTTCTTATATATATTGTTCTTGTTTCTTTTTGTTTGTCTGTTTTAATTTTGTTTAAAAAAAAAATATGAGTAGATAAACTTAAATCTATAAATGTTCAGAATCTTTTTTAATTCAAAATATCTTTTGTATATTTAAATATATATTATGTAGTTTATTGGATATGTATACGCATATGTACGGATTTGTAAATTATTTTTTCAAACTTTTTTATTTTTTATTATTTTCAAACTTTTTAGTTTTGTCAAACTTAAAAATTATTTTTTCAACTTTTTGATTTTTTCAAACTTTTTAATGTGTTTTTTTAAACTTTTTTTAATTTCACTCTTTTATATATTATTGGAAATTGTAAACATTTTTTTATTTTTACGAAGGGGCTTGATGATAAGACATTTTGTCTTCTACTTGCCCCAGTCAGCTTGCATTTGTATAAATTTATTTGAATGTAAGTTTAACATTGTAAAATGTGTCAAATGACGAAAAAAAAAAAAAAGAAAAAAAACGCGTAAATGTTTTTAAACTTTTTTTCTTTGGTATTTTCTTTGCCTGTTGCTTTAACAAAGGATAATATGATAAATTATCCTTTTTTACAAAATTTGAGCATATATAATTGTTTCTCAAAAATAATTTTCCCCTCAATTTCCAGTTACACAGTCGAATGTGGTGATAATATCGCGTATTGTCAATTTAGAATATTTGTTACTAT